AACGGCATGCGCAAATCTTAAACAAATTTGACCGATGGTAGAACGGTTAAGTTTAGTTCTTTTTGCGTTCAGTCGCCTTCTCATTTGACGTCGCGTTCTGATTGCTAAAATAATCTGCCTATTTTCTGCCTGAATGAAGCGAACTCCTCTAGGGAACAAGGTGAGAGTTCCGCGGTTTTCGGCTTAACACAGGTTCATTGTAAACAATTTTGTTTGCAGGGTGTCTACAGCTCAAGTCCTTGGATTGAACCGGTTGAAACAGGTATAGTTCTTGTTTTGTAATTGCTCTTAAGGTGATAAGCCAAAATTGAGGTATAAATGTGTTGATTAAAGTATCATAAATTGGAGAGTATTGTTAACAATTTGATCATAGAGAAAGCAATAATGAAAACCGTTTAACTCAAGAATTTCTAGTTACAAATTTCGTTTTATAAAACTCTAAAGTACCAACGTTGGTCATTAAAAACACTTCTGTAGAGAATTTTCGTCGGACCACAGAATTTCGTACGCAGACATAAAAGTTGCAATAACGTCTCTGTTTTTATTTTATTATCGGCCCATTTATTGTTTTCCTTTGTTTTGTAGATATTGTTGATATAATAAAGAGTGGTGAACGTTGTTACTCAGAGGTCAATAGAGACCTTTAGATACGAGAAAGAGAACGACTACGAGTACGAGATTTGAATTAAAGTTTTTTCGCGTGTTGTCAAAAAATAGACACTCAGGAATTCTTCATTGTACTTTTTTTAACCACAAAAGTTAACACTGTTATCGTTGTTGAAGGAGGTTGAGCCCTCTCCCAATTGCAAAATGCTAAAACTTCTAACATTTCATAACTTGTTCCCGCCACTACGACATTCTTGCTAAAACTCGTAGTAGACTGACGACGGCTACCACGTTTCCCCGCCAAAATAACGCTGGTTCACGCGCGAGTGCTCTTTACTATTGATAAGATGTCGTACTCGTAGTCGTTCTCGTCTTAGTATCTAAAGCTCTCTATTTTATATGTAGGTGGAATATGATCGTTCAGGTGAGTGTAGTCCTAAATAGAACTGTTGTGCATGTTGACAGTGACTCACAAGATCTCCATAGTGGAGTCCTATTTAGGACTATACTCACTTGAAAACCAAAAACGTTGGCTCGTCTAGAAGGGTGACTCTCCTAGCCTGGTCATCCTTTTGTGATGGTTGGGTCACCTTCCTTGGCGGGCCAACTTTTCTCCATATAAACACTTTTGGCTCGGCCAGCCGGGTCAACTCGGTGAAGGTGAGATGATCAGAGCATGCGCGAGTGCGTTTGGCGCAGGCAAAGGGACAGCTTTTTCCTCATATAAACCCTCGCTAAAGTTAACACGGCTGGGAGGTTGACCCTTCTAGCATCGACAAGTTTTCTCTATTTAAACGGGGCCTTGTAATAATGAGTATAAAACAAAAAAAGAAACGCATGTTTGGCCTTGTGATGTCTAGAGAGTGAGGGGGTCTTTTGTTGTGTTGAATTTCCCTGTGGAACTGTTTTGGCGACTCTTTCACTTCTTTCATCGGTTTTTACGAAGTTACATAGAAAGCTGAGCCAAAATTCGTCCCTAAAAACAGACCCATAGTGGAGTTCGAGCCAACTATGACCTAGTTTTCAAGGGAACATTAAAATGGCTAATGGCACGTGGCAACGTTACTCAAATATGTCATTTCCGAGTTACCTCAAGCCTCTGTATCAAAAAGAGGCTAAATACTAAGCAATTATGAAAATGATTTTTATTCTCATGCAAGTAAGCTTTGCACTTGCACTGGAAATTGAGTGTTTTTGAAACTCGGAAACTAAATGGCCTATACTGTTAATTTTGGGCTTCTCTTTGATTTTCCAGCCCCCGCTGTCGTTCCAACCTCAAAACCCAGTGGTGAATCATCAACGAGTATCGCTCTTATTGTGGGACTCGTCTTAGTCATAGTTATTGTTTGTATCCTGATATTTGTGGGAATCATTTATGTCAGGTAAGAATCCAACTGGACATAATGATTTAGCGTACATTACAAATAATTAAGACAATTGATCAAGGACTAACAAAACAGGTAAAAGCAGCATTTTCTCATGCCATGAGTGATGGAATGTTCACATAGGGAATCTTGCTTCGCCTTTGTTTTTCGTGTAAAAAATTCAGTGTGGGCAGGCTAGTATGGTTTCTAAGGAGAGAGCCTTAACTACTTTATTTAATTGAAGAGGCCATATCATGAAGTCAACTCCTTCAGGCCCCACGACCTGGCCACCAAACTAATCGAAAAATTTAAATAGCACAGTAAAACATAGAAAAAAGCATGAACAGTCGACTCCCGATAACTCGAACCTTTTAGGGAAATCGAAAATAGTTCGTGTCATCGGTAGTTTGAAGCAAATAACCGGAAGTAAGGAAATAAGCAAGTGGATGGGGGGGGGGGGATGCAATTAACAAACAAAGTATGCAGGAATGGACACTGAATTTAAACAAATAACACAAAGGAAAATTTCTTATTGGAGCCCGAGAAAAAGAATGTCAAATTTCACAAAATTACATCTTACGCATGAAAGTTTCAGAATTTTACCTGTGTTTCCAGAATTCTGGTGAAATTTGTCATTCATTTTCTTGGGCTCCCATGCGAAATTTTCTTTGGTGTTATTACAAATAACTAAGTACATCTTTAACCCTTGAAAAATGTCAAAAAGAATGCAATATTCTTTAAATTATTCTGGCGCAAGACTTTTGTCCACTGAGAATTACAATTACTCGATTTCCTGCCGTGGATTCCGTCTTAAAGTCTGTAAAGTAACACCAAAAGTTAATGATATAGGGCGAGGTTTAGGATATTAAAAACAAAGTGGACTAAGCTGCCCTTATAAAGCCATGTCGCCGATTGAATGACACCTGTAGAAGAGTTATTGCACAACCTGATCACCGGTAGTTAAAGAGACGTTGGTGGTTTACAAATTAACAGGTGTTTAGTGACTCGATAGGGAATCTCCGTGAAATTTTCGGTAACATGGACAATTCCTTTTCTTTCTCGTTGTTTACTTCTAAAAGTAGAAATGGCGTGAAATGTTAATCGTCCGGATCATCCCAGTCGTTGTAAAGATTCGAGTTAAACGAAAAATCAAGCTTGAGCGTGAAAACCTCAACTGGAAAATACTTTGGTTTTCTAATGTAAATCATGTACGTATTGTCTTGTGTCTTGCACGTGGGTTTTCACACCCTGTGTGCACCTCCTTTGTCTTCTTGATCAAGAAGGGTGGAGTTTTCAGTTTCAGTTAGCAGCTTCTTTGTGGAGCAACCAGTTTAAATCATATGACATTGTTGTGATGAAGCGCAATTTCTTTTTGATGTATTTAAAACATGTACGCTTCTTAGGCGGGCCGGTGATTCCCCACGGCATGTGTATTAAAGCTGGAATTTTTCCTGTAGTTGAAGTAATTGAAGAGAGCGATTTGTTGCTTTTAACCACAGGAGAAAGCGGACGGCTTTCGACAGGGTAATGGATGACAGAGATGATTACTCGAACGGCGAACCGACGAAGATGAAGAAGTTAAGCAGGAAACGGCGATCTATGCAGAAAAGACTGATGGGCAGTACAGAATCGCTGGACGGACTGGACGACTTGGCTGCAAGCAGAGCAAGTGAGAGTTAACCTAGTAACTTAACCCTTTAAATCCCAACACCAACATACAAATTCTCTACACTGTTCGCCATACATTTCCTTAAACAATTGCTTAAGAGAGTTTGATAACAGATCGAAGCATTTCCCCTTTAGTAATCATTAATCCACTTCTCATAACCAACAACAATTTCATAGCTGAATTCTGAAGGACTTACGGCTTCAACTATTTTTCTGAAATTTATTTCGCATACTTTTTATGTCAAAAAAAGCTGATACCGATAATTTCAGCCAAAAATATCCGCTAAATTGTTCACTAGACGCCATTTCCCTCGAAAAAGTCGGGGCCGTTTAAGCGCTTATTTTTTCTCCAGTACAATCGAATTTTTTCATAATAATTGCCGAATAATAGCTTTAGTTTTTAAAACTAAAATGCTTTTTTAATTGTTTCATTTTCACACTCGATTGACAAACAAGTCGTCCATCTTTGTCAATTGTTAGATTTGAGGTAAATCCCCAGTTATTTCGATTTTACTAACTGAGTGTGTTCCCCAGCATCTGTTAAAGTCTAAAAACCGACACAAACGTATCTTTTACGGCGTTCAGTTTACAGCCTTAAATGCTCAAGTTGTTGATTCGGCGTTTGCACTGTATAGCCTGGTTTTCGTTAGCGAAGTGAGGCTAAAAAAGAAAGTATAAGAGCATGCAACGAGCTCCCAACGCAAGCTTAAGCAGAAGAACAAAAATTAATTATTCTGAGATTTCTAGATGGATGACTTGAATCGGCTACCGGAAAAGCGAATGTCAGGCCACAGTTGTTCAAAATTAGGACACCACTATCTAGTTGGTAATTAATGGGTGGATACATTTAAGGGAAACCAATTGCGTTATCCGCCAAATAGAGATTAATCCAGTAGCTAACTCTATCCATCTTTCGAACATGAAGCCACGATGCCTTCAGAAACCCGCTATTCGCCATTTTCACATTGCCCATAATACACCTTCCTTGTTTAAACCCAAAATTTTGCACAAGAATTGTCTTCAACTTCTGTTATTCAGTGAAAGCGAAAACCTTGCCTATGCAAAATTTTGAGGGTAAACAAGGTTTGTTTTGGGTAATGTGAAAACACCCCTGTTGGTGTTTTAAAAGCTTTGGACGTTCTTTGCTTGAGCTTGCATCGCTATTAAAAATAAAAATAAAAAATTCTTAACGGACTTGTTTGAACAGATCCTACGAAAAATCCCCTGTAGATCGGTACAAGTTTTTCGTTAATCTGGCCGTTCATTATGAAGTGCCGAGGAACTCTTGTTTCCCCCCTCAACCCCCAATGGACTTGATGCGTTTCTGTTATGCCTTAGTATGAGCTGCTTTGCATACGACATTTAGCGCTCCCTCAACATCCCTCTGTTGGCTTTTTTACTTACAACTTCGTTCGAGGAGAGTCATATGCTGACGTCCTCTCAATCGCTAACTACCTGCGTTTCGACGCCAGGAGTGGCCTTTCAAGTAAAAAGGCCTCCGAGAAGATCTGCCTCTCAACATCTCGTTTACCCCACCTTTCCTCTGATAGTAGAGCAAACAAAACCACGCAAACGTTGCGCGTTTTGAATGTGCTTAGACTTCCAGTGTTATAAAAACAGTTTCCGGCCAGTCCGGTGGTATGTGGTGTTTTAGGACCCATGTTGCTAGGTAACTTTTGCAACACATTTGCCCAGTATTGATATGTATTTCTCCACAAAAGTTTTGAAGGCAGTCTACTTGAGAGCAGTTTTCAAGTCGCTCGATTGGTCAGCAGTATTGGTGATCTAGTAAATTGCGACCTAATCCTAAATCGGATTTATGTTTATTAGGGCGGCAACCTGTACCAATAGATGACTTTGAAAGACATGTTGACAGAATGCACATGGATGGAGATCATGGATTTTCTGACGAATACGCGGTATGAATAGATATATTCATTTCCTTCCTTGAAGACCTAGGCAGCGTGTGACGCAAATAAAGCTAAAGGAACGCTTATTTACAGAGCCCAAAAGTGTGACCTCGTTTAATTAATTCACCTTCTTTCATACGGACATTAAGCAGTCAGAAGTCGAGGACAGTTTCAAGCTGACTTCTGATTGGATCAAATCTGCACGAAAGAATGTGAATAAGTCAAAAGCAGTCACACTAGCCTTTTGGGATCCTTGCTGTAAACGAAGTCTATTTTATTAAAGCCACGATTTAACAAATCTTTGATCTCCATATCTCTTCCTTAGTGAATTATTTTAAGAAGATAAATGCTTTCTCTAGTCGTGCTTTATATGCTTTCATAAAACTGGTCAGAAAAAATGGTATTTACGTAAAACCGTTGGGCAAATTAAAAATGTCTTAGAACGCGGTTTTGTTAAACACAAGTACGTTTAAATAAATGGCCCAAAACGCTTACACCGCACTTGAAGGCGTCTCTCCCCTTTCCTTTCCTTTCCTTTCCTTTTTTCTTTCTTTCTTTTCTTCCTTTGTTTGTTTGTTTGTTTGTTTTTTTTCGTTCTTTCTTACACTCTTTTTTTTAATGGGAGTTCGCTTTAAATTTAACGAACACAAATAGTCGGTGAATGTTCAAATTATGTTTTCATTTTTCACCGAATGACATGTTTCTGTCGAGTCCACATTTACCACTTACAAACCCTTAAATTCTCTAAGCAGTGAGTACATGCATTAGAATTAAAAAGAACAAAGTTAAATCGACTGCTTATTAGCTAAGTATCAACTGACTTTGAGGAGAGACAGTTACAACCTTAAATCTGAAAACCTTTGTTTACCTTTCTAAAATGTCTCACGTTTGAGCTCGATCAACACTGTAGTTTGTTACATTTGAAACTTGGTTGACCTGTGACACATTGCTAATTCTACGACGGTACTAGGTTGAAACTTGGGCCTTCTTTGACTATTCAAGATCTAACGAAATCCTTTGCTTACTCTTTTGCAGCTTGTTCAACCAGACGAAGACTTTTCGTTTCAACAATTCTTGAATCCCGCCAACAAGTACAAAAACAGATACGCTAATATTGTTGCATGTAGGTGCTGTTTGACAATATTCTATCGAACAGTCTCTGACCTTGGCTAGCTGTTATTAGGATATTGCTGTTTAGGTCAATTCTGCGCTGAAAGTCATTACTTCGTGCCTTCACCTAACACAAAATACTCCTGTAAAGATGTGAAGTAGACATCAAGCAAATCTTATCAGGGAGCACTAACCATAATAATGTTTTGCTGATTCTTGCGGGCATAGCATTAAAACTTAAAAAAGGTTACCCTAACTGTTTCAAGTTATCGATGTCCATCCTTAAAATCTGTTACAAAAGACAACTGAAAATGGCTAAATGTAGTCTTAAATGAAGAGAGCAAATAGTGCGACAGAGTCCCATTAAGAAAATGGAACTGGATAGAAAAGCGGTGTACCGTAGTTCCTCAAATAATAGCCGTCCATCGATTAATAGCCTCCCTCGAATAATCGCCTCGTTTTGACGGAAATGTTTAAAAATCGCCTCCCTCGATTAATCGCCCTTCCCGCCCGTCACCCCTATAGGTTACTCGCTAGTGATAGCCATAGCGGTAAACTTGAAGGATGAAGCTAAAGAGGAGTCTGATCCAACAAAACTGATCAGTGACGATTCAGGTTCTGACGCCGAGGACATTAACATTGAAAATCAATCAGGAACCAAATTTGGAACACTTTAAATGCCAGTGTTCAGTTTATATGACGTGATTATTTTTTGATTTAATAGAAATAGAACAAAACCTTTAGGGCACTGCGTCCAGTGAACAATACTTGAAACAGTCGCCTCCCTCGCATAATCGCCCCCTTTTGGTGCGAGAAAAGAAATAATCGCTCTCGGGTAATATTTGAGGAAATACGGTATTCCTCAAACCAAATCAGCCTCTCTTTTGCGCATAATCCGATCAAGATTTTGATGTCGTAAATTGGGCCTTGCTGTGAAAGGTTCGCTAATATTAGACAACGTCTTGCTGTTATAGCCAACACCTTTGTCCAATTGAACGAAACACTATGAATGTTCTCCCATGTGATAATTATTGAATAGAATATTTTCTCGACTTACTAAAAAAGGATTTTTAGTATTCGCGATGTGGGGAACTTCATCTTCATTGTAACAGGTTTTGTTAGGAGCAAGGTTTGATAAAGGTAAACAAGAGGTAATTATTCTCTGTCTATTTCCTTTGCAAGATGATCATACCAGAGTCCTGTTGAACCCGATCGAAGGCATTGCAGGTTCGGACTACATTAACGCCAACTTCATTGACGTAAGTTGAATGAACACATCTCTCTGTTTTTTAGTTTAAACCAATATAGCTGGTTAGTGATATATTTAGCAGCATGTCTAAATGGCCTGATATGTGGGCATCCATTGGTGAGTTCCTTAATTTCGTAGATATATCCTCCGTCAACTTCCTTTAGTCAACAGGAACAACGCGGGCATTAAAAACAACAACAACAACAACAACAACAACAAAAACACACACATAACAAGAACAACTGGGTTGACCTTTGAAGAGGTTTTTCTGGGCCGTCTCTAGATGTACCGTAGTCATATCCTGGACATATACTGGATTTAATATTAGAGAGCTTTAGATTTGATGACGAGAACAAGTACGAGTAAGAGATTTAACTAAACGTTTTTGCGCGTGCCCTAAAAAAAAAGAAAGACACCCCAGAACTCTTCATTTTACCTTTTTTTCGCCAAAAAAGTTAGTCTGGTTATTTATACTTAAGGAGGTTAAGCCCTCTCCCAATAGCAAAATGATACAACTTCTTACATTTGATAACTTGTTCCCGCCAATACGACATTCTCGCTAAAACTCGTTGTACAATGACGACGGCTATCAAGTTTTCCCGCCAAAATGACGCTGGTTCACGCCTGAGCAATACTCAGTATTGATGAAATCTCGTACTCGTAGTCGTCTTCGCGTCAGAATCTAAAGCTCTTTATTTGCCCTTGGAAGAAGGCGCTGTAGGTTGTCAAGTATTTTGTCCTGTAGCATGTTGTCACTCCACGTATTTTAAGCCCAACAAGATCGGCTAAAACGGTGGAGCGCTTGACTGTAGAACGGGAGGTCGCCGGACCAACACTCAGGGTCTTAAAATAACTGAAAAATGAAGCTACTACAGTACCTTTGTCCTGCAAACAGCTAGATCTTCGCGTGGCTCGGATGACTACGTAAAATGGCGGTCCCGTCTCCAGAAGGAGACGTACTTTAGTGCTAAATACATTGACACTCAAATAAAGTGCTTTTTTCCCGCTACAATTTACCATGAACTGACTTTATCGTTTTGTTTTAGGGTTACAACCGGCAGAGAGCTTACATAGCTGCACAAGGTACGACATCATGTGCAGTACTCCTATTATGATTCACAATGCAATAAATTCTCATACATTTTCCCAAATGCCTTTTTGTAGGTCCGTTGATGGAGACATTTGATGACTTCTGGCGCATGATATGGGAGCAAATGTCTTCAGTCATTGTCATGTTGACAAAATTGGAAGAGAGAGGGAGGGTAAGTTATATTTTTTGTGCCAATGATATAGTCAGAGCTCCTTTGCCCCCTCCCCCATCCATTCACACCAATAGTACTGTTCTTTGTCTTCTACAATAATCATTAGTGTGTACTGTTTACTTTACTGCTGTGTTTTAAAATCGCGCCGTCTGTCACGACTGTATCTAAATTTGTCGTGTACCGAGGATTAGTGTAATAAGCGAATGCCCTGCCAACTTTATAATATAACCATCCTGTTGAAAGCTTATCTTTTTTATTAAAGGGAGTGATGAAAACATTTTTTTTTTTTCTAGACGACCCAACGTTCTACTGAGACTCGGTTGCTTGTTATGTATCACCCCTTGCTTTAAATGACTCCACCGTGTTTCAATTGGCTTCTCGTGTAAAAGGGATCTCTAAATTGTGCCAGTCGGGTCCCAAGTTTGTCAAAAGGACAGCACTATCCAGTAGATAGATCACTTTCCACTGGATAAGTTTAAGGAAAACAATTTGCGTTATCTGCTAGACGGAGATTAATCCGGTGATTTTGGAGCCACGATGCCTTCAGAACCCTCCATTTGCCAGTTTCGCTGCGTCTGTAGTTCATCCTGTTTACCCCTAAAGTAAAATGAATCTGACGTGTTTATTTCGCCTTCACTCTTTTAAAAGAAGAACTGTTGAAGTACCGTAAAGTTCCGAAAGTAACGACCCTCGTTACTTCGGCTTTAAGACCCTTCTGCGATCGCTACTTTCGGAGGCTCGCTTCTTTCTGATGGCTAAGACGTGTACTCCACGTAGCACTTCAAAAAATAAAATCGCAAAAAATGTGAAAGGAATACTTTTTGAAAAAGGGCAGTGTATATCCCGTACTTTAAGAGGTATGAATAGGAGTGTAAAATAATCATTATTAATAAACCTCGGATCACTGTGGCATTTGTTCAGTATATCTATTTTTTCCAGAAGGGAAATTAGTTTTGAGGTCTCTACCTTCAGAGGGTCGTTATTTTCGGGGGGGGGGATCGCTATTTTCGGGATTTGCTAACACCTGAGACATTTAATCGCTAGTTTCGAAAGGTTCGCTATTTTTGAGGGGTCGTTAGTTTCGGAACTTTAAGGTATCGATTTTTATTGCAAAGCGGTTATTGATTTAAGGTACTCCCACTGCCTATGGGTGACATTAGTACGATTTATTCTCTTCCTTAGCGAAAGTGCGATCAGTACTGGCCTGAACGAGGAATGAAGAATTATGGTCCAATACAAGTCACCTTAAAAGAAACTCTCAACATGTCTCATTATACTTTGAGAAAATTTATTATAACTCACAAACTGGTAAGCTGCTTAATACTTCTTGGTTTTCCAAAAATTCCTTTACGTCTATGACCATCATACGTGTTCCCCTTTGGTAGGCAGAGAGACACAGTGGAATAACTTATGTTGTCAATTTTATACAAACCACTGTATTTTGTCACCCCATTGTCGCGCCTTTGTTCACAGGGATGCGGTAAATGCCTATTCTTTGTGTGGGCAACACGATTACCGTTGTACTATGTACAAACGTATATTGTTGTATGTGTGTGCAAGCTTATAAAGGGCTCACGCATACAAATGACATACATGCCGTATGTACTCGAAAGAGCGCTCTAAAGTGAATGCCTCCCACCTCCCACCGCCCGCCCCAAACGCGCTGAAACATACCCCACTTTCCATCACTTTCTCTCGCCTCCTTCTTAAGTCTTATGGAATTCTTACCAGACCAGCATAAATGTAGGTCAGTTTTATATCCGTTACGCGTCATTATCTAACTCCGTAAGTTTACAGAGACAGACCTGTTGCCCGAAAGTAAATAAAGTTCCATTTGTTTTGGGGAGTTTATGGGCGCTTTCTCCACCTCTGCCTCCCCCACCCCCCCCCCCCCTCCCTCCAAACCAACACACACCCACTTTATTAGGGGCTATCATTCAAATAAGCGCCCAATACATCCAGAAAATACCATACTCCCTTTCCTGTTCTGGGGCAATTGAAAAGGAACTCCCTTTAAACTGGGAGAAATCAAAGAAGAAAATGCTAGTTGATCATGAGTAGCAAGTTCACAAATAAATCTTGTGTTTCTGTCATTTTAGTACCCAGGTGACGATCGTGTCATTAAGCAGTTTCATTTTACGGCGTGGCCGGACCATGGAGTACCATCTCACCCCACCCCGCTGCTTTCACTTGTGCGTCACACATTTTCCGCTAACCGAGAATCCGTTGGACCTATGGTGGTGCATTGCAGGCAAGTTAAGAATTACTTAAATCGTTCTAGAATACGCTAATTATTAGGGAGCTTTAGCATCGACGACGGTAACGGCCGCGAAAATGTTAGTTTTAAAATGAATTCCCGTTTTTTCAATCTTTGTCGCGTTTATTCCCATTTGCTGAAAATTGCAAATGTAGGGGAATTTCCCTGGGGTTGATTTCTTGAGGACCGCAGTCAAGTTTAGAGAGAGAAAAAGAGATTCGTCGTCGCTTGTTTACGTCCGCCATAAAACTTGCAATTAGGCATTTTCACTTCGTAGTCGTGCAAGGACGGTAAAGAAATGTACAAAAAATCGTGATGCACGTGCAAAGTTGTTGTTTTGCGTAATAAACCTATTGCTTTTTTGACGTCCTCGTTGCCGTGGGCGTCGTCGTTGCTAAAGCTCCCTATTGGCTGTTAGTGTGCGGGTATGAATCTTAAGTAATTTACAATAGACCTTATTCACGATGCCCGCCATCTTTACACGCGCTTAAGAATTGATTGGATAAAAGCGATGTCACGTGGTTGCTCAGGGAGAAAGCAAAAGATAAAATCCTGCCGATACAAGAAATCGCGGTCAAGTTTGTTTATTCTAGGCAACAGATATGAAAAACGTTTCATCTTTAAGACGATAATGGCAAACTATTTGTTGGCTTCACTCTAGAAGCGAAGTTGCTTTCAAGTAAGCACTTGATTCAAGTGCACTTGACAATCTTAAAGATGCTCTGTAGAAAACATGGCTTCACACTTGATGAAAAAGTCTATTACTTGAAGTAAAAGCTGCCAGTCTCTCCGTTCATTAGAATCTTGGAATCGCTGCACGTGCACATCGTGCTCCTGGCTTCCATTTGTTATCGGTCAAGTGTGTTCTCAAGTGTGGTGCAGACCATACTTTAGGACCAACTTCGGCTTCTTTGAACTACGGACGTTTCCATGTTCACCAAGTAAAGTTTAAGTAGATACATTTTACCCCTTCACACTCAAAGTAGGTTCCAAGTACACTTACATTATACTTGAAGCACTAGTTTGAAGTCAACAATTGTTGGAAGTGATCATTGTTACAGTAGCGACCTCAGGTATTCGTGTCATTCAATGGTCAGCCTCACACCGATAACCTGGTTCGTCATCAGTACTGTCACTGCTGTTAAGGTGAATTTCGAATGTGGCATAATTTTAACTTGGGTGCCTACGTATATTTGACGCGTGTAAATAAACTAGAGGCAATAATGTATCATCGCCCGTAAACGTAAACGTTAAACAGAAGAAATGGTACAACAGCGCGTGAATCACAATCTTGCGCAAAATTGTTCTTATGCGAACAACAGCCTTTATGGGAACGTTTCCACGTGTTCGCGGTTAGTGTGTACTAGCCTAAGGGTGGATTTCGGCTGTCGCGCATGTTTTACGGGCGTAAGAGTTAAATGTACGTTTACGTGGGGACTTTCACAGATTGCCTTTATCTTCTCTACGCGCGTAAAATAAACGTGCGTACGCACGTAGAAATTACGTCACAGTGAAAATCCACCTTAACAGACTGTGTTTTGTTTTCCTTAGTGCGGGTGTAGGCCGAACCGGTACGTTTGTCACACTTGATGTCATGTTACAGAGGATTAGTTTGGAAGATAGTGTAGACGTGTTTGGTTTTGTTCGTCAAATGAGATACCAGAGAAACTTCATGGTTCAAACTGAGGTAAGTGGTGGACGCCCAAGTCACTTTTCTTAATGATAACGTAAGACTAATAAATCTTTAAAATGAGTTACTAATAATTGCTGCATTATTTACAGGCTGAGTATGTCTACTGTGTTTAAGGTTGATTGCCACTGTCGCGAAAGTTTTTTGTGCGAATGCACGTAAAATTTACGCGCGTAAATAAAATAGAGACAATGTATGGAAGGTCACGCGGAAACGTAGAAGTTGAACCTCGCTCAACTTTCACGTTTACATCGAGATTAACACTGCAGAAAGAAGTCAAGCGGATCACAAGAACAGTGCGAGACATTTAAGAAAATGGCCATATTTTATATTTGCTAGGATCGCACCTTGTTTTGTTGGAAATAGGTTGTCGCGGTGGCGTGCAAAGCACCCCAACTGTGAGTCTCACATACGCAACATATGTTTACAATTTATTTGAGATGAAGAAAATGTCTGTAACATTGTTTTCTGATATAGTTCTACCCTAAGTACAAACCCGAACGTGTGCAAAGCCAATGCTCACCTAGCCTGGTCATCGCATGAAGATGACTACCATTGCAGAGCAAAACGCAAGCAGAATCCAACGATAGAAAGGAAATTTACTTTGTCTTTGCTATGGACATTTGTCTTAGGCGCAGTACGTTTTTATTCATGATGCCCTTCTCGAGGCCATCACCTGTGGAGTCACGGAAGTCGAGGCTAAAGACCTGGGTTCCCGCATACGGGAACTTCGTCAATTTGACCCGGAAACTGGCTATACTTACTTGGAAAACGAGTTTTGCCGGTTGGCTAAAGAAGAGAATCACCCCATAGCTTTCAAGAGTGCCAGTCTTAATTGCAATGCTGCGAAAAATCGATACGCAAATATTCTACCATGTAAGTATTTCATTGCTGATTCTGATGAGTGCTTTCAGATAAGGCCTTCTAAAGGTTTAATGGATCATTTGTCTGTTATGGGTTTTAAATTGCTTAATCGATTAGCTTATTCATCACTAAGGAAACTTGGTTGATTGCTGGTGCAAATGCTTCAATGGTTTAGAAGTAGAAGCATAAACAAGAGCATAACCGCTGGAAAACTAGGTGTAAACCGGTGCGATGCAAGCGCTAACACGAGGATAAGAATGAAAAAAAGGAAACGTTTCTATTCTCCTTTGGTGGTGACAAGTCGTTTTTTGGTCGTTTCTGTAACCAGGTCGGCGCCAAGTAAAACTTGGTGTTCTTGACGACTCTGCTCTAGTTTGTGCCATGTTGGATCGGTTCTTTGTCACCAAAATAATGGAGCCAAAGATTTATTTTTATTTCCTTTTACCTCTGCTTATTCTTGGGTCGCGTACCTTTTAGCCAGATTTGCTAATACGTATGCCTGCACCAAGTAACCCGGCTTTTATTAAGAGTATTATTGGATGATGTTATTTTCTTTTTACAGTCGAAAGTACGAGAGTCCATTTGAAGATGAGACCAGGGGAGATGGGATCTGACTATATTAATGCCAACTTCATTGATGTAAGTTGTATTTTTAAAAGGATATACACGAAAGCGTGCTTTCGCATTTGAAAGATTTGTAGAGCTAGATGTGTTCGTTAGAAAGCGAAAAATTGGTAAGATCGTAGTTATTGCTTGTCTGTTTCAGGGCTACTGTCAGCCTAGAGCTTACATAGCAACCCAGGCGCCAATACCGGACACTTTTGATGACTTTTGGCGAATGATTTGGGAACAGGAATCCGCCACTGTCGTAATGCTGACGAGAGAGGAGGAGGCTGGGAAGGTATGAGTAGGCCTGGGAATAGGATACGTATCAACCAATCAGTAGGTCTCAAAAACAGGCAATGCTTTTTCGTGTACAGTTTTAGCGTTGCGTGGACCTTTGTTGACTTACGCATTGCCGCACGTTCTGTATAAAGATAGTGGATACTTGAGTGCATCTTTACTAAACTTTATACTAAATCTGCAGAAAAAAATTGTTCGTTTCCAGAAAAGGCCTATTTAATCATACAGTCGAACCTCTCTAATACGGCCACCGAAGCGACAGAACGAAGTAGTGTCCGTATTAGAGAGGTGTCCGTATAAAAGAGGTCACTATGATGACGTCATTTTTATGACTCCACTTACCGTTTTAAGTGTTCAGTAGCTAAAACCAGGCTCACCTCGTCTTTGAACTGCATTTAAAGTTATTATTTCACAGTACAAAGACACTGTCTTTCATTAGCATACAACATTGTACAGGGCAATGCTGCATGTAAAAAGTTGTAACGTAAAGCACGATTCTGAAAGCGTCTTTCGCTATTTTGCAAGTGCAGTAAACAGTAACCAGAGTACAAAATGTAAGAGAAAAGATCTTTATGCTATCTGTAGTTACTGAAGCCTTGAAAAAGTCGGTTATGTTCCTCTGCGTTCTCCTTTCGAAAATCTTTGTTTGGTATACAGCGACTGGGCTTTATATCACCTTGCATAACTCCCCAGCCAGACTGGACGGAATTCACCCTGTGGAGATTCGTCTGATAGGGATTCGTATTATAGAGGTTTTTTTTTTTTTTTTTTTTTTTTTTTAAAATACATGAGAATTTTGTCGGGACATTGGAAACTGTCCGTAATAGAGAGGTGACCGTACCTAGAGGTTCGACTGAATTCCTAACTGGTGTAAGGAAACCTATTGACACTAATAACCTTTTGAATTGTGTTTTTATTTTCTACTTTTTAGATAAAATGTCACAGATACTGGCCATCCGAGGGATCTCGCCTTCACGGAGGTATTCTCGTTGAACTGATGGAAGAAGGTTCCTATACTGATTACGTGGCCAGGAAATTTAAAATGACGCACACAGAGGTAACATGAAAGCATACTCGTATGTTTTGTTCTTGATCGCTGGCGACTCACATAAGCAGTTTTACAACTGGGTTCAGTTGCATTTATCTTATCGTTGGAGTTAGCAGCAGCTAACGGCCAATGTTCAGCACGGAAAAGCCCTTTTTTTGTCTCCCGAACTTAGTTATGTAACACGTTTTTAGATAATGACTACCATTCCTAAGAGATCCATTTCGCCAGTACAAGTTGCAACACAGTCGAACCTCCCCGTAAGCGACCACTGAAAATGCGAAGAGTTAGTGGTCGCCTACGGGAATTAAACCACATGGGCTGCCTTCTTAGAGATGGTCCAAACACATCTGCATTTTGGCACAGAATTCGTTGCCTGCGATTTCTAAGTTACGACGATAGGTGTAGTTTCATGTTGTCACTAAAAGTCGCATTCTCTTAGTTGTTTTGTACATACTACGAACATGGAGATCAAACTGTGCCTTAAATGGTCACTTACAGCAGAATAAAAAGGATGGAAAATTCGTCATCCAAGGAAGTTGTCTCGGTCGCCTACGAGAGGTTCTAACTGAAGTGATTTCACTGCGAAAATCGTGGTGTTTTGGATGGGTGGTCGCTTTTGGCGGGTGGTCGCTTACTAGAGGTGGTAGTCGCACATTGTATAAACTTCGGAAACCGTTAATTGAGTCGCGGTAGAAAGCAACGTCTTCGTTTTGTCTGTAGGTCCACTAATCATCGTTGCGGTTGTCAATTGTAGTTTGAGGTGGTTCTGTTGGTTTTATATTGATTGATTGATTGATTGACTGACTGACTGACCGACTGACGGACGAAGGAACGGACGGACGGACGGAAGGACTGACTGACTGATAGATTTAGTGATTGATTAATTGATTGGTTTGTATTTAGTTTAAGGAATCTCGCACAGTGACACAGTTCCAGTACATTGATTGGCCAGACACGGGACTGCCGGACTCTGGAGTTGGGATTGTGGATCTTATCGGGCAAGTGCAGAAGTGGCAACAGCAAAGTGGAAACACAATTATCGTTATTCACTGCAGGTAAAACGCTGAAATTAAGAAAACTGTGAACAAACATATGCTGGTGATTTAAATTACCAGTGTGATTTTTTTTCTACGCTTAGCTTCTCTCTCCTTACTTCATGTGGCCTTCTTTACCCGAACGCTTCGATCTGTCGCAAACTTACCTCTCCGGTACATGACTGCTGAGCGGAAAGTCGCGGGTTCGATCTCTGGGGCTAGAACACTACCCTAATGGCTAGACCTTCGCGTGGCTCGTATGACCACGTAAAATGGCGGTTCTTTAGTGTCCTCAATTAGTACTTTCGTGCTTAAACATTGACACTCAAATAAGGTGCGTTTCGTTTTTCCTTACACACGTTTTATACGGTTATGATCGTAGATTTCTAATGGGTTTACTTGTCTTTTTAGTGGCGGTGTTGGTCGTACAGGCGTGTTTTGTGGCATTAGTATGATGATCGAACGATTGAAAGCCGAAGGAGTGATTGACGTGTTTCAAACTGTTCAAGCAATGAGGCTTCAAAGGCCCGCCATGGTGCAAACGGCGGTAAGTTAATTTTTTAGATATGTGGAAAGTAGAGTCACGAATTTTCAGTGCTGGAGGAGAGTGAAAAAATCAGGAAAAGAAGGGCGAAAGATCGCTCGTCGCGCCTGGGCTACATGTACCTACGATCGCGAACGAAAGGTGTAAGATAGTTCCAAAAGACTTTGTTCGAGTTAATTTGGCCGTTTGGAAGATGGTGCAATAAGGTCACGAAATTAATTGTTGGTTGAAAAATAACACTGGCCTGTGGATCACAATTCCTTGAAAAAGTTTTACTACTGAACGGTGTACAAGGCCGAGACAAACGTCGAACTTCACTCATGAGCAAAATCTATTGTTCTCGCGTTAGGTTCGCCATATATGATCTGTAAAGAATTGCATACGAATGTATCTAATTTGGGGACATTTTACCAGGCATACAAATAGTGAAATGGTCTAGTATATCTCTTAAACGATTTCCCCAGATTCTAAGGTGCCGTGCGGCAAGATCCGCGACTTAAGTTATTTTCTAACTGTCGTACATTTTTTAACCAATAACAATCTTAGTTATACTTCGAATGATTATATGAAATAAATCAAATCAAACTAAGGATGAAGATATGAAACTATAGATGATCCTCGTAGTTTTTTTTAAATTAATATCCTGAACGCGTGCGGTAGCCTGGGACCAGGCTCGGCAGTCGGGGAAAAAGGCAAAAAAACGGGGTCAAACCACAGGTAACCCAGGCTCTGTGATAGTACCACAGTACGGTTCCAGTAAAATTACAGTGTTTATATGGGGTAAAAATATCATCCTAAAATTTCTAGGAAATACTAAATAAAGATCAATAAAACTTACTCTGCAGTTAATTGTTGTTGTCCTTATTGCTCCAACGAAGTTTCGTGATAATTTGCAGTAATTTGTTTAAATTCACTCTATCTACAATAATAATATACAAGGTAGGAAACACGAGGTGCCATTTTCGCCGACATGCTCTCATTCAACACAACGTTTTCCACGAAATTCGAACTCCAACGGAAAATAAACATACCAGGATCGTAGAAATAGGACAGCAGTAGATATAAAAACCAGTGAAGCTTTCCCAGATAGAGAAACGAATCCCACAGACTTTGACAAACTCGAAGAATATAATCCAAACAGACCGAGAATACGCTCGCCGAAGCAGCCGGGCCAGATCAACACGCGGCCAAGAAAATGAAGCCTGGGCACTGTACAAAAAAAATTCCATCCCGGGAGTCCTGGGGTGACCTTTCTAGGGACCGATACATCATTTGCCCAAGGCCACCCTCCCCTGCTGGAAAAATACTTGATAGAAGGTAATTGTTCTTCCTAGCCAATCACCATTTGCCAGAGCAAACCCCGCACACGCGCCTGAATTTAAATGGCTAAAAAAGTAATATAATCAAGAGAGTCTGCGGAGTTACAAGGCGTCCCATTTCTTTTACTAAGGAATGCAAATAACAGTAATGAAACTAATGAAATAACAACGCGAAATGCTTACAAGGCGGGTTAAAAACAAGGTTGAACAAAAGGTAGATGATGACTGAGATACTGTTGCTGTGAACTCTCAAGCGAAACTATCGTAAATAAACGGTGAAGCTTACAAACTAATGTCAAAAATTATACACAAAATTGCGACAGAATATGAATTGCGATAACTGAGACGAATGTGAAAGGCACGTGCACTAGTAAACAAAGAACTAGCGCGATTAACATATTTAGCGATTAATGCGGCAGTAACACGCCGACTTCTTGTCAATACAAGTGAACGCTCTATCGGTTAAATATGTGAATCATCGTGATACACCTCTCTTTGAATTTGGTCCTGTTGCACAAATGCCTGGGTAAGAGCCAAAATTCACTTGTATCTTTTGCTCGTTTTAAGTTTTGTAAATCGTCCTTCGTTGTTCTTTCCTTTGCCCTTATAACCTTGCCCTATTGATGTTTGATAAACTTTCTGAGGACTAGCGCCAGGAGCTGAATATAGTTCGAGAGGAAAATAATCTCTTTATAACAGGCCATAGTGATTGGCTAGGAAGAACAATTACTTTCTATCAAGTATTTTTCCAGCAGGGGAGGGTGGCCTTGGGCAAATGATGTATCGGTCCCTAGAAAGGTCACCCCAGGCCCCCCGGGATGGAATTTTTTTGTACAGTGCCCAGGCTTCATTTTCTTGGCCGCGCGTTGATCTGGCCCGGCTGCTTCGGCGAGCGTATTCTCGGTCTGTTTGGATTATATTCTTCGAGTTTGTCAAAGTCTGTGGGATTCGTTTCTCTATCTGGGAAAGCTTCATTGGTTTCTATTACTGCTGCTATCCTATTTCTACAATCCTGGCATGTTTATTTTCCGTTGGAGTTCGAATTTCGTGGAAAACGTTGTGTTGAATGCGAGCATGTCGGCGAAAATGGCACCTCGTGTTTCCTACCTTGTATATTATTATTGTAGATAGAGTGAATTTAAACAAATTACTGCAAATTATCACGAAACTTCGTTGGAGCAATAAGGACAACAACAATTAACTGCAGAGTAAGTTTTATTGATCTTTATTTAGTATTTCCTAGAAATTTTAGGACGATATTTTTACCCCATATAAACAATGTCATTTTACTGGAACCGTACTGTGGTACTATCACAGAGTCGGGTTACCTGTGGTCAAACAGGAAAAATATCGGCGAGGGAAGCGAGCCCAGCGGTGGCCTGGGGAGACTATCTCTCCGAGCCGATTTTTTTTCGCTTACGCAGATTTTTTTTCCCTTTTTCCCTCAATGCGGAGCCTGGTTCCTGGCTACCCGTACGGTTGTAAATAACCCTTTTTAGCCCAATTTTCCCCACTACGGCAAAACCACGGGCAGTCAGTCAAGTTGAGAGAAATGGGACGACGTCGCACCGTTTTAAGGCTACCAACCCGACTGACTGTCCCTGGGATTCCGAAGATGGTTGTTTATTTATTTGGGTGGGTCACATCTACTTTCGGTGTCAGTAACTACATACGTTTCTGAATAGAAAAGAAAAAGATATTAAATGAAGCTCCTGTAATCATGTTCAACACCAGCTGTGTTCGACTAGATTTGAACAACCTATCCTGCTCGGTGGTTAATGTAATGCGTTTTCCGTTTTCAAAATCATAGACATTTTTAAAAGCTGACTATTAAAGGAGCCTTATGTCACGGAAGTGAAACAAATTCGAACAATGGGACTCATCACCAAATTGAGTGAAACACAAAAACATCCACTGATAATATGAAAAGGTGGAAGTGGAACCACGACATAACGAAAGGCCAAGGGACTGGAAAACTCTGTTCGCTATAACGAACTTTCGTTAAATCGAGGTTCTTTTTTATGTATTTTACTACTGCTGGGGCAAAAAATATCGTTCGTTATATCAAGGTTCCAGTGTATTAACAAAATGAACTAGGCAGCCATGAAGCAGCCTCTTTGATGCCTTCCAAACTTTATTTGGTTAGTTGTCGATTTGTCCCTAGTTTTATGCCGCATCGTACTGATAAAAAGTCCTCAGGTACCCTAATAATAATTATTTTTTGTCTGTCCTTTCTCAGGAGCAGTACGAGTTCTGCTACACGACGTTACAAGAATATTTGGATTCATTTGATTTGTACGCTAACTTTCAGTAACGTCCCAGCTTCAGTACTGAAAAAAGTAGCTAGTATAGGTCGTTGATAATTTCCACCATTGCTAGCAGTAATTTAAGCTCCCGTTTACTCTGCCGGCCATCTCGTGCTCAAAGACTGTTAGCAAAAAAGGCTCAGATAGGCATCTCCAAACATCCTACGATGTGCAAAATGATTATGTAATACTTTGAGAACTAGCTTCGTGCAATAATTTCAGGGCCGGATAAATTTATTTGACTGGGAAGGTTACAGAATAGTAAATTCCAGTTCGTTGGTAATGGCATATTAGATGACTGTTTAAGAATTTTCGTACCAACTTATGAGTGTAAGATAAGAAACTCTTAGACACAAACACTGAAACACTTTATTCAGTTAAAAATACTAAAAAGTAAAGAAAGCAGTTAGAGTAAATGACACTATAAGAGCAATCTATTTTTATATGACAAGTGAGAGAGAAAATGCTTTTGTTAGGCGTTTTGAAGAATTCTTTTCTAAGATAAAAACAAAAAAAGTTCTTTCTCCGGAAATTGATTTGAGGAGGGATACATTTTGCAAGTTGTTGCATTTTGACGCCATAATCTGTGGCTTTTTTTTTAATGACTACCGAAACTTTGCGACTTTTTTAATATTAAATAGGTTTGTAAGTGAAATTAGTATCAGGTATAAGGGCTGTTTGTGCAAAAGTTGTGGTTGTGGTTTTAGTGCAGCTGTCTCCTACACTCCAGGGAGAAGAGTGCCTTTTTTAATATCCTTTTACTGCACTTTAAAAAAATTCCGCGTTTCTCAAGGATAACCCTCGAGCAGTAATCTTACAATTTATGTATTTGTAAAGATTTCGAAAGGAGAGACTTAGAATTAGTAGAATTTAGTAGAGATCAGGGGCTATTAGCAGTTTCGTGGCCTATACTGGAAAGAAAGTGGAGGAGAAACAACCTTTCGTTTTAATGTTCAGTGGAATTGAAGAGACCGTATCTATTCAATTAAACGCCTTTTTAAACTTCGTCTGTATTATAGTATTTCTGTTGTTCGATATATTTCGCCTTGGTTGCACATACGAAAGGGAATTCTGCAATCTTTTTTATTTTCTTTTTTTAAGTAATGCTTTTCTATAACTATATTGAAAGACAAGATATTTTCCAAAAAAATTACTTATTCCAATAAGGTTGGTTAATCGAGGAGATACGGTTTTTGATTCAAAGCTTATTTTTAGTTAAGAAGTTTTTTCTAGAATAAATAAAAATGAAATGAGAAAACGTTTAGCGTCTGTGAAGTATTTTTTTCCCTCGCCTATACATACACAACCGTTTGTGTTAAAAAAAATGCTAGAAATAGTAATTTAGGCCTTTTTTCCTATTCTAATATACTTGTCTAATATTTTTCTATACATGTACATTGCTTCGTTGAGTTGCTAATCAATATTGTATTTTCTCGAGTGCGGAACTGTTAAACTAATTTATGTCGAATGTGAAAAGCTCTTAGGGGTTTTTTATCATCTCATGCGCGAAACCTCTCACAAAGAGAACCGTTACTGAAACATATTCTGATGTTAATGATAATTTTATCGAATCTGAAATTATTTCCTTTTCCTACTCATGTGTGTGCTTGAAGCAGGTTTTAATTGGCCAGTTGTTCTCATCAAAAAGGGAATAAAATGTGTTCACGCTTTTGTCTTTCCTCATCGATATGCAAATGCTTGATCAAAGTAATTTTCCGAATCGGACTTTAAGCAAATACACCCATCGGGCGAATCTTTAGTTGTTTACTTTCTAGTGTAAATATACGTTACTTTGAGGAGAGAAAAAATCAGGGTATATAATCATCATGATCCGCCTGTTGCAGGTGTAAATAATTATAAAGTGGAAGAAATATCATATTTATCAAATGACAATTGTAGTCTAGGTGATGTGTCGGAGAATATTGACGTCTTATTGCCGTCAATGTAGGTTCGAGAAGTCTTTTAACTGTTTCTGGAAATTACGTTTTCTCTTTTTCTGATTGTCTTTGTTACAATTTCAATCTGTTTCACTTAAGAGGGCGGCATTTTATGGCATCTTATCTGAACTTCCATCTCTGATTTTAAGAGAAATAGCTTGAGTATTTTGAAACATTCCATTTTCTACGTTCCCTGAATCCAACTAACCAACGATGGAAAATTCGATCGAGATTCCAACGCTGAATGAAGAACCCGTGTTCATCGTAGCCTTACAAGTCATCTTTGTTTTACTTCTCATCATTTTCGGTCTCATCGGAAATTTCAGTGCCTGCGCAATGGTTTATACACACCGTCATCTTCAAACAGTCCCAAACTTCCTAATTGTAAATCTCAGCATCTCAGATATTCTGCGAATTGCCTTTACTCTCTTGGTTTCAACCGGTGTCCTCATAAAAAGGCAGTGGATTTTCAACGAAACTCTCTGCCGCGTCAACGGCTGCTACACGCTGACGTTTCTTTTGGCGTCTTTAATGTCAGTGACAATTATAAGCGCCAACAGGTATTTTTTGATCGTACGCCCCAGTGAAAGCGCCACATTTTTCAGCAAACGAAGGACAAGAGCGATGGTGGTATTACTGTGGTTTCTCGCCGTGTTTAGTGCTCTTCCACCCAACTTTGGCTGGGGCCATTATGGATTTTTCGCTTCTCGCGCGACTTGTTTCATCGCTGTTGGAAGCAGTTACTCCTACACGACTTTCCTGGTGCTGGCATTCATTGCAACGCCATTTTCGGTCTTGATATGGTGCTACTTCAAGATTTACATGGCTATTAGAAGAAGCAGAAGACGTGTGATGGAGCAGGGCGTGAGAACTTTAGCCAGGACACTGAGTGCGGAAGGTAAAGAAAGCCGGATCCACAAGGAGGTAAGTAATAAAATTGGCTGTTTTATAATTAATAATTTGCCTTGAGTACTTTATGAAAAGCCTTCATGTATTTGGCTTATATTGATGATCACTCTCTGCAATACATGGTCCATAGCCTCTTACACTTGTTTAAAGCCGACTCTGAGAATGATATGCACAGAGCAAAACAAAACCCGAAATTTGAAGTGAAACATTGAGAACACCATATTTCAAAGTCATAACCGATTTAAAAGGCATCACCAAGTTTTCCGTCAACGGACGAACGGAGGGTTTTTTGGTACTTGTTACTGTTCATACTCGAGAATTTTTTTGGTAATCTAGCGATTGAACTTTCGATCGATCGATATATTTTGTTTGTTTATGATCCCAGTTCCAATGTTGCGTAAGTTTCTGTTTCTATCGTACCTATTCAAAAACACTTGAAACATCTTTTATTGTAAAGTCTGGTCCTTTTTCTTCTCCAACTTAAGAAACTAAAATAATCGACATTCACAGTATATAATAAGGTTTTCTCTTTATTTTGTTAGATTTGAAACATGTTTAAATTAATTTCAGTTCTTGGCATGGAAATGAGTTTAAAAAGGCAAAAATCTAATGAATTGTTTACCTAATGCCCATTCTCATTTGTGACGTTTTATCGTTCTGAAAAAGAAACGTACCAGATCACATTTCTTCTTTGAATACGTACCTTGCGCATTCTTAATAATTCTTAATAATTGCCGTCATGTTAGTCTTTATGGATCAAATTTTTTGAGGACATAAACTCGAAAATTGTCGGAAAAATACCGGCAGGAAATGTCAAGCACAGATCATTTCTTTTTTATTGTGGCCGACATTTCTGTCAAAGAAAATCATGACAGTGTCTTATGATAGGAAAGCAATAACCGGCAGCAGTTTTACAAATGAAGTGTTTTTCTCTCGGGGAGGTACTTCTGGGAATTCTTGGTGGGGGTGTGCCGCCCAGTTCTCCAAATCCTGACCCTATTTCAGAGGAAAAAATGTCATTTTTCACATCCGTTTTCAGACCTGGCCTCTAAAAAATTATGTCCTCCGCTATTACTTACAGCTGTAGATCAGAACACCAACAAAAAACTATTTCTTAAAATCCACTTCGAATTGGTATATTTCTCTTTCTTTCTTACTCATTTTGGAATTGAAGTGATAAATACGTTCATACACTCCTGTAGTTTCCCCGAAAACCATACCCGATTCCAGACCAAAACGGCGCAAAATCATACCCTTTGGGGCGTACCCCTTCCCCGGATTTTTTTTCATAGTCAACTCTCTTATACACAGGAGCAAATTTTTGATACGTTTTAAATTATCGATGTTCTAAATAAGGAAATTCTTATCAAGTCTGTTGTGAAGGCTAATGGTGTAAGACGTATCGCTTTTGAAACGCCCACGTGCATACGCAGTTTGGTGTTGTTTTTAGAGCACGAGGTTTCTAGTTTTCTATCTGTTCAGCCAAACATTGTGTACTAGTCAGTGAAAACCGATCATTACTCTTGGCAAACACGTGTAGATGCATCCAGAGTATGCTAGGGTAAACCAGCCTCGGCAGTGAATGCTAATGTAAACCTGACTAAGGCCCTGTTTACATGGAGTGGGGGACCCCGGTTTAGTGGGGTAGGTTTCTTTTGTTTTGTGTCCTCCAGAGCGTGAAAACAAAAGAAACCAATCCCACTAGACCGGGGTCCCCCACTCCATGGAAACAGGCCCTAAGTACGTTCATACTGGATATGCCAGGAGCCCATAACCCGGAGTTAGCAACTCCCATACTAGGTCTATGTCACGGCGTTTTTACGGAACATTTTATTTTTAGACACCTTTTAGGGCACTTGTTCCCGCGAAAATAGAATCTTCACCATTTCTATAAGCGCATTCGAAGTATAAAAAACTAAAAGGCAAAAATTATCTTATTTAAGTGTGTAGGGTTTGCTGACTGGTTTGTGCAATTTAAAAGGTATTCAAAATTCGCGCCAAAGCCGTTCTAAAAATAAACTGGTCCGTGAAAACGCCGTGGCAAGAGCGCATGGAAATTGCTCGCTCCAGTTATGGGCTCCTGTTATGCTTAAATATGGGTATATTTAGAAATATATTAAGCATATAAAATATATTTAAGCGTAACAGGAGCTATAACTATTAAAATGGTTACAGCGTTGACCGCGAAGGGTGGTTCTAGAGGGTGAAAAGCCAGAAAAAAATGTCACTGTTTGGCAGAAATGTTTAGTAAAAATTATTGTTTTCATTATGATTGTGCACTCCGAAAGTGAAATGTTCATTTCAATGTCTAAAGATAAAGGCACTTTCTTAGAGCAAATTAAACGTCTATTGAGGGTAAAAAATCATGGAATTTACTTTGTAAAGACGCTAAATTAAAGGAGGTGTAATAACGAGTAAATCTAACAATGGGAAACCGTAAAGAGCATGTACTCGGGTAACGAGTGTCTCTAGCAGGGTAGAAAGAACCGTCGATAGATTTTGGAGAAATATCGCTTTTATTTCCTACAAACCAATTTCTTTCCTTTCTGTACATCAGTAAAATTCCCTGTGGCTCATTCTTTGACCCTAAGAGCAACTAAACTAAGAGATAGCTTCACATTTTTACCTTTTGTCAAAGGAAAGACTTGTCAAGTTTTCCCATATACACTCACAAGTTCACCACGAGTTTATTCGCCATGTTACTCCTTGACGAGTAACAAAAAAAGCTGGGTACGATATGCGACCACAATGCTTCTTGGGATTGTTTGAAGGGACAGCGGGAAAGTCAACAAACATGCTGCACTACAAATGCTGTTTTAAGGTGGCTCGATACAGTTTTTCAGGGTCAATTTATCGAGTGGTTTAAAAATCATTTACTAATTTAAAGTGGAGCAAAATGTTTACACAACCGCTAACGACAGCGCCTCGATAAGTACTAATCAAATCCTCCTTTCTAGCAATCGGCTGGATCTATCTCCATGATCTTTCACACACGTTTATAAAAAGATTTAAAACTACTATCAGGCGAAATTGCACGTTAAATGCATTTCGTTTTCTACAGGTAACCTCCAAACATCAAGATTGTCCATTTTTTACTGTATTTCTAACCATTAAAACTTCATCCCAAAATATCTCGATAACGCTCATACAGATTTCACTTAAACTTCATGGACATCGAGGAGGCTATTGGAGGAAAAAGCTCCCGTAAACGATTTTGGAAGAACTGTTCCCAGTACCGAGAAATACTGCCGCAAGTAAAATAGGTCATGGTGTCATTTCGTTTCTATGACTCCGATGTCATTGCGACTCTGATCATAACAAATTTTCATCTTTATCTAATACAATTGTGGTGGTAATTTTTGCAAATCTTTGTTTATGTCGACGTAGTTTATGCTCAAACTTGGGAGGTATTGACCCTGAAAAACTGTATCAAGCCACCTTGGAAATTTTTCCTTGTGGAAACCGGAGTCCTAGACCTTGGAATCCGGAAGACAGCTGCAGGATTCCGGAATGCCACTAACAATTGGAATCCGGAATCCAGGTTCCACTGAAAAAGATCTGGAATCCAGTAATTAGAATCCAAAATCCAAGGCGTGAATCCAGAATCTAAGACTTTCTTGGATTCTCTTACATAGGGCGAGTAACAGGTGGCTTGCTGCTGTCCCCCATGTCCCTACAGCTATTGCGTTCATAAGTCGTACTAGTTCCCCGCCACTGAATTTTCTTTTTTACCTATCTCCAGGTCAAAGTTGCAAAAACCGTCCTCCTATTGATTGGAGTATACATAGTCACGTGGATTCCAATTCTTGTTATCCATTTCTTGCGCGTGGCCCGGATCGGTTACATTCCTGACTCAGTTGATCTTGCTGCAGCGTTTCTTATGAGCATGAGTTGCGTGACTAATCCTTGGATCTACGGCTACAGAAACAGACACTTTCGTGACCAGCTGAGGCGGATGCTCTGTATAACGAACCGCGTGACACACCTTGTGGAGAGGCAGCAAGTAATGAATAACATCGGCCATCACAAGTGATGTTATCGCTACTATGAATTTTAGAAAGCGCCCGCAGAAGTATAGGCTAGTGGCGGTTCGGTAAATTCACTATTTCAACATCACAGTGAGGAACAGCCATGTGGTTTGCCAGATTTAAGTTCCTTTTTCGCTCTCCTACCAACTCAGTTGCACGACAAGAATATACAATCTGTATTTAACTTGATTTTGGACATCCATGTTATGTTCAATTCACAGTTGTCAAAATAGGATGTCCGCTGACCAATTTTATATGACTGTATCACGGGCTCAGGTGTACCACTGATTGTTTTGATGTGTTTTTCTTAAGTTCACCGCTGACCAGTTATTAGTTTTTAATTGATCACTGGCTCAGGTCCATTTTTTAAAGGGAATTCAGTTTGCTTCTTGCTAATGGGAAAAGTTGAATTTCTTCAGAGAGACATTATTCAAAACTTCCCACAAGAGCTTCGCTTTTGGTCTTCTGAATTATTGTTTCAGTCCATGGTCTTTCTGCATGTAACGTAATTTGAACAAAAGAAGCGAGGCGGATTTTACAGTAGGCAATATATGTTTTTTGTTACCAATATTTCGCAAGGCATGGCCTTCCTTCTTCAGGGTCTTAAATAGAATGTCGATAACGAAGCAGTACCCTAACATTTGCCTTGTAAGGAAGAAAAAAAAATATTGTTCTCTAATGACAACACTGTCGTCTTTGCGTAACCAGGAAAGACAAGCACAGGCAAACCCCGCTAATACTGATGCTAACGGGGCCATCAACAGAGTGTCCATATTAAGCGGGTCATGTTACGTAAAAAATTCAGCTTTTATTTGAACAAAATACTAAAAGGGACATTGGCATCGTAAATTAAACATCTCTAACCTTCACAAGACTGTCATACCGTGGGCTAGATCCCGGGAAACACTCATCGCTTTTCTCTGTCATTACGCAATCAAAACTGCCGTTCTCGTTCGATGTCAAAATATGAGCTTGAAGTCGACACTTCATTCTATCCGATGTGCCCTAGCGCTGGGAGCATCGACAAGCAGTTGTCCACTGAACGTTGTTTTTTTTTTTTTCGTTTAAAAAGGAAAGGTGTATTGCAGGACACAGTTAAGAATAAAGCGTCCTCATAAGCAAGGTTGACTTTGTAAGAGAATCACTTGATTGGGTAAGCAACAAGTGAAGTGTCCTTTGTCTGCCTAAAACGGGGAGTCCGTATTAAGCAGGCTGAATTAGAAAATGTAGGGGCTTTCCTCAGGGTAAAGAAACTGTCCGTATGAAGCGGGTGTCTGTAAAGCCAGGTCCGACTATAGCTTGTGACAGGCACGATTTGGAGTGAAATTAAGAACTAAAAGCTTGCATGATTTCTGTTTTTGCGTCTTTACTGAAGAAGGACGCGCATTCCTGCGTTCCGATCCATGCCATGGACACAAGTCAATCCTTCGTCATTTAATAATTACTTGAAAACCCTGAGTAATGGTCCGACTGAAAGAACGAACACTGCCTGAAGCCTACTTCAATACTGGGCCAAATGGCAAAAATTCTTATCTTATAGATACACTGCGGGTTGAAACAAGGTCAATGAACATAGAAGCTACTGATTTCAATATCCTTAATTTCCAAGTGTTGTAGATAGAATTCTGATCAATCCATCTATAATATTGTCGGAATCCGGCTCAAAATGCACGTTGTCAGGATTTCTTTCACCAGGGTAAATGGCCTGAGAAATGAAACATTCCCCTCAATTAGAGATTTCCTGATGCGTTTATCATACTTTGAGAAGAGCGCTCTTTAACATCTGTAAGTTAATTCACTTTGGGCCTGTAATCAGTTTCTATAAATTCGAATGAATTACCGGTAAGTCTGTGATAAGAGATACTCTGTCATATCAAAATACCATGCTGTCTACTTGTGATTTTTTAAATTCATTTCTTAAAAAAAAATCAGCAAACAACAAAAAATCAACAACAACATGCAAATTAGGTCATTTTATGACCTGTTCAAAAAAATCAGTGCGCATGTTATTTCGTTTTTTTTTTTTTTTTTCCAAGGCCATGTCGCTTGTCGGAATTTGATTTTATCCAGACAGGGCTTCATTTTTTGTCCACGCGTCCTAAAAAGTTACCTACAAAAAAAGGCGTTACCTATATAACCAGGCTCCATACTGCTCTTCATTTATTTCCTGTTATGATAACCTTTCCCCTTAAGGATCTGTGATATTACAAAGAATAATGAAAACGCTGTCACTACAGGGGTTTTCAGGGGTTAAAAAACTGTCTTTACTTAATATAATTCATACAACATCTCGACTAGCACACAACGCCGGCGTCAAATATTGTCATTTTTCCCTTGACTCTTTAAGTCCTAATATCCACATACAAATTCTTTAGACTGATATTCATACATTTCCTTAGAGATAAGTTAGAAGAGTTTAATTAAAAATCAAAGCATTTTCTCTTTGGTGATCATCTGATTAATTCCCATAACCATTTTTTCTTGACAACATATGGATATTGCTAGGAGAAATTTGATGTTGTTCACTATTGGGAGCTAAAGGGTTAAAGATTCTAGTCATAGAAATGCAAGTTTGTGCGCGCATGACATGCCGTACGCCAAAATGGAAAGGATTTGCGACACTTCGGGTTGTCAGCATTCTCAATTAATTCATCCTTTCTAAGATTTTAAATAGGTACCTTTGTTTGTCTGTTGCCATGGTAAACAGCAAAAAAACTCCATGATATTGTCAAAAGCGCCAAAAAAGGACGCCCAATTATATTTATTTCAGTGTTAATGTCTAAAGTGCACGTAAAATTCATCCTTGGTTCAATATGTGCCCTTCGATTGAATTCGTTCTTGCAATTTTGCATCAATAAAAGTTAACGTTCTTTCTGGTTGTGCATTAGGTTTTATTTAAAATACGCTGTAAAGCTTCTCTGAAAATGAAACCAAAAATCCTTTCATGCTTTTTACTTTGTTTCGTTTTAATCTATTTATTTATTTATTTATTTTGTTTTGTATTTTGTACAGCAAGCAGTAAATGTTTCGTTTTCTTTAATTTAACGCAATCGCGTGTTCTTTTGCTGTTGCAACAAGACCGTGTGTATACCCAAACGTTTGGGTATAGACACTTTTGGATATTAAAGGTAATATAAAACGCGTGGCGCCACTTACTTATGAAAATTATCTGTTGCAAAAGACTCTTAAAAACACCATGATAGGGTGTGTTTCTAAAATATGAAGAAGTGAGTTCTTCATACTATAAACCATGCATATGTACAGAAAACAGCAAATGAAAAAAATTGCAATAACTAAATAAAATACACAGCAACAAAACAGTAAAAGCCGGAACTGTAAATAGCAATTACACTTGACCAGTATTTAGAAGACAAGAGGGAGAGTTTTAGTCAAGTGATCGATACGAGTCCGAGAGTTCGAATTAACCCTCCACTGAACGTCCATCTATTCCCAAATCTCCTAGTTCAAGCTCAGTTGTACTACGAGGACTTGAAAGTCTATTTTAAATCCCGATTTCGTAGATTTAATTTGCTTTAGGAAGCTGTAACAACTATTTCCTGGCACTAATCTATTAACTAAATGTGTCTTATAACAAATTTCAAATTCCGTGATAGTTTTTTATCGGCTTATTCATCGATGTATGTTGAATCAACACTGACTTTTAACTGCAAGTACGAAAACGAGAACATTCTCATTATCAATACTTAAGCCCTCTATCCAATAACCGATACCAGATTTTGGATTTTGGTTAAAATTACCTACTCGGTATTGCTTGAGCACAACCTGAGACACGTACAACATTCACAAACTTATACTAATTTGTTACCTTTACTAATTCTTATAATGTTATTGCCGGTAATTTGAATCATTCGAAGTGACCGTTAATTGGATTAGAACCGCACTCGTCTTGTGCCATTTTAAAGAAGGATTTTCGCAAACGGTGTCCTATCACTAAACAAAGTAATATCTGCTTAACAATACCCCTTTTCCGCTGGGAAAAAAAAAGTAATATTTAGACTTTGTCGTAAAGTGATTGGGAAAATAGTCAGAAAATTCTGTGGTGCTACTTAATTGTCAACAATACTTTTCTTAATTATTGTGACATACTTCAAGCTTGTTATTACTATTTTCTTCCCGTAATAAGTGCGATTTCGCGATTCCTAGAGGAGACAAACGTTAGCCAATATGTAACTCAGTCAAATACTAAATATGCGAAAGGCTAGAGAAAGAAAAAAAATAACAATAAAAAGCTTTTGTATGGATAAAAGAAGAAAAAAAAGTTGCTGTTTAAAGTCCTAACTAAGCCAGGAAACCCACATAATCAAGTAACATCTTTGTTTCTTCTTTCTTAGCTTTACACTAGAGTGTTTGACATGGATGTTCTCTTATTATTAATCACCAATTGAGAAATTTATATTTGTTCTTTTGTAGTCGAGTGCCTGTAATTATATACACAGGTTAAAAAGCCCAATTTTCAACCTAAACTATTTCCTGTAGGCAGGCTAAGTAAAAAGGAATTTTTTTTCTTTAAACGTCTGTTCCCTGAAATTTATGTAAAAGAAATTAAAGAAAAGTGACCTTTTTGTCCTCTTTAATTTCAAACTATTTAATCCGTTTTAGTATTTATGTCTTCAGTATGTTTGAAGGAGGCACTTAAAATGATGATAGGTTGAAAAGTCATTATACATATTGTAAAGCAGTTTGATAAATAATTCTACACTTTGAAATTGGAACGCCTTTGGCATTGAGGGGCCAAAACTCTCTACCACGCCAGCTGAAAAGAGCATCATCCGAGGGAACCAAGCATGTCGTTGAAGTTCTCAGCTGGTTTATGCCTGGTGTTGTTCGTGGCTTTGTCCAACTGTGCTTCTTTTTCTAGAAAAGTAAAACTTCGGTGGCCAAGGAACGGTATGTAAAGAAAAAAAGACACTTATAAAAAATATATACTAAAACTAAACAAATTTTGTTCTACAGAAATGTTGATCGTTTAAATGACGTGCCATACACTCTCTGAAAACAAGAAACAAAACAAAACAAAAACAAAGATATGACCCTGTGACGAAGAGAGATACCATTTTCATGCGTTGTGTTCCACAAGCGTTTTTGCAAAACAAAATGAAAGAAAAGAACAAAAAGAAGAACAAAGGTATTCATTGGTACTAGCTAGGAGGGAGGCTCCTTGATTATGAGAATAATATTATGGACAAAATTGATGCCATTGAATTTGTGAGGCAATGAAATCTGTGTTATCGCTGGTTCAGTACAGCCTTTCTAACTTCTTCTGTTTTAAGTAGCGAAGTTCAAACAGATTCGGATAGCCTTATGAAAGTCCCGTGAGCCGATATCTGTCAGCACGCCGAGAGTGTAAGCATGTTGCATAAGATCCGCTCATCTTCGCTTTCGTTTATTCAGTCATTTTTGCTTTGATTTGATTTTTGTTTTAAACAGCACGGCCAAAAACTGAAATCAGAAATCGCCGCCAAGTTGGCTTCCTCCCTTTGTGCGGTTCAGCTCAGTTTAACACATTCACCCAGTTATGTTGCGACGAAAACTTGTTGCCGAAGATGACACCCACTACCGTTTGCTGTGATCATACCACGTACGACCCACTACATCAGATATGCTGTGATGGAGCAGTGTACCAGAAATCGCAATACATTTTTCCAAAGTGCTGTGGACAAGATGCGTATGATGGAAATACCACTGGAACCATCTGCTGTAGTAGTAATATCCACACTGGCCATGGACCCAGTCCAGCTTGTTGCGGATCAGATAACGCCTATAACACTCTCACTGAGATATGCTGCGATCAAAGCAACGTGTTGCCTGCGGTAGGGTACACGAGTCCAGCTTGTTGCGGAACACAATCATACGATGCCACAAGCTTCTTATGTTGTAACAACATGATGATTGTGCCTAAATCAGGGCCAAATTCAGCCTGTTGTGGCAACTTTGTCTACGATACCAGTACACAGATTTGCTGTGGTGGAATGATTTTCATGAAGCCAGGCAATGCGTCGGCGTGCTGTGGAAATATGGCCTACGACCGGGTGACGCAGATGTGTTGTCAAGGAGTGCCATCTATGAAGCCCGGTGCAAATCCTGCTTGCTGTGGGATATTCGCTTACGATCTGACAAGCTCCATGTGTTGCAGTGGCCACGTAGCTCCGAGATCACCCTCAGTAACCATGTGCTGTGGAATGTTTTCATACAGCCCTGTCACTCACTTGTGCTGCAATGGTGTTGTGGGTATAAGAGTAGGTCTAATGCCATCTTGCTGTTCAACGTTTGTGTATAATGCAGCTACGCATCTTTGTTGCGATGGCAACGTTGTAATTCCCATGAACCCCAATGGGTGTGGAAGTCATGCGTGAACTGAACTTGATCGACAAACAAGCGACACCGTTAGACCGGGAAAACAAGGAAACAATCAAGAAACTAAGCAGATGTTCATACTATAGCTAGAAATCCGTGTATCGCAGAACCTCGCGAGGTTCGGGGGGGGGGAGCCCATAAGGGGTGGGAGGACAGGAGAGAAATGAAGTAAATCACGTAACTGGCGAGGGCGGGTCTAATATTCGAAGCTGAGATTTACTTAATGCGAGAGCTTCTTTTCACAATTAACTCTAGTCTAAGATTTCCCTTGAAAACTTTTCTGAGAGGAAACATGAATTAGCTAACAGCTCCCTATAGTTTGGACTCGCAAGACTGACTTAAACATGTAGAGCGCGTTTGACATAAAGAAGACTAACGAGAGATTATTATCTAACCTCAACTCGATGTTGCCACCGTATTTCCAATTAAAAAAATAGAAAAATAAATTATACCGATAAGCCTGCATTTCCCGCTCAATCGAGTACAGTTTAGAATGCGCATGCTCATCGGCATCCGGGTTAACACGATTTTACAGCGTCAGGGTTGTAGGGACTGTATATATAAAGACAAGGAGCCCATAAGCTGGAGCGAGCAACTTCCACGCGCTCGTGTCACGGACCAGTTTATTTTTAGAACAGTTTTGGCGCGAATTTTGAATATCTTTTGAATTCCACAAACCAGTCAGCAAAACCTACAGACCTAAAAATGATAGTTTTTGCCTTTTAATAACGTTTAGTTTTCCTTTTTGATATCATATAGTTCGAATGCGCTCATAGACAAGGTGGAAATTCTATTTTCTATTTTCTATTTTCGCTAGAAAAAGTGCCCTAAAATGTGTCTAAAAATAAACTGGTCCGTAAAAACGCCGTGACGTAGGTCTAGTATGGGAGTTGCTCGCTTCACTTTATGGGCTCCTGTAAAGACGTAATTGAACTTCCTTTAATAACTTATTTAGTCGAGTTATATTCGAACCCCAGTGATAAGAAGGCTACAACTGTAGGCAAGCTCCTGAGTCAAATTGAGGCACACTTCACTTTAAACTAATGCGTAAACCAACAAGTAGGATCCACGAGTGTAACATGTAATTTAGGCTTCGTGAAACCAGCTTATTTAGGGGACCCAAAGCTATCATGTGTTGCATAAATTGAACATGATACTTGAACCGATAACTTATTAAACTTCGTGGAAGCTTAATAAAGCATTTTGACTTATTTCTGCGTTTGTTTAGTATAACTTCTTGTCTTGTGTTGTTGCCAATAAACTTCTGGATATAGAGCTAGCGCCAAAGTCATTTTTGGATGTTATCAATTCCGGTGTTCCAGCAATTCCTCTTTTAACCAAAGTCGTTTGCTTGGATCAAGTTCCCCCGAGCTACCCTGGTTGAGCCAACTTTTCATACATTCCCTTACAAAATGTGGCGAACCCTTTCCTGACTGAGAACAAAAAGCTGGTCCGGCTAGAAGGGTGACTCTCCTAGCCTGGTCATCCATTTGTGATGTAGGGTCACCCTCCTTACCGGGCCAACTTATTCTGCATATAAACACTTTGGGGCAGTTATTAAAACGAAGTCTAACTTAGACTTCGGTTTAGGAAATCTTTTCACCTTCAGATCTCTTCGTTTTAAGAAGACAAATGCTTTTCTAGTGTACGCCATGTGCCGTAATGAAACTGTTCACGATAAATCGTGTTTACATAAAAGCGTTGTTCAAACTGAAAATGGCTTAGAACGCGGTTGTGTTAAACACTAGCTAAACTGATCCGTTTAAATACCTGGGGCCCGTATCTCCAAAGTCCCGATAATTAACGGGCCCGTAAAGCTGTCGTTGTTTACACGCAAGATAGAGGTTTCAATAGTTTTGCATCTAACATGATAAAACTATTAGTTAATGAAACAAAATGGAGCAGTTAACTAGCCAAGACCCGCGCTCTTATTCTTTATAATTCGATTTGAAAATTTGATTTCGGGCCCGAAATGTTACCGGGACTTTCGAGAAACGGGCTCCTGGCCCTTTGGCTCGGCCAGCTAGGTCAACTCGGTCAAGGTGAGACAATCAGAGCGTGCGCAAGCGCCGCTGACTTTGGCAAAGGGGTAAGATTTTTATCGTCAAGAAAGAGCCCGTCTAAGATGACTTTGAGAGTGACCTTTAGCCGGGACGATAGAGAGATTGTGAGCCACGTTAACGGCAAGCGACAAACATGAATTTGTTCCACGTGGCCAAGTTTTCCCTATACTTGTACTTTACTGTTTATAACTTCGACCCCAAAATTAGTAGCTTCACGTTAATTTTGTCTATAACAGCTGTGTCCAAAAAGATAGACTCAAGGAGGAGTCCTAGTCCCCTTAGTTGTCCTAGCTAGCGGCAGACGGAGCAAATCTCTATGGCGCGTGTTATATGAATGGAAATCGCGCGAGCGACTAAATTCATTTAGTAAATATGCTGGAGCCAGGCCATGAAGGTTCCGCTTTTTGAAGTTATTCAGGTTCGTTTTGGGATCCTGTGTCACTGCGTTAACCATCACAGTTTCCAACATGCAGGCCAACATGAAACCTATTAAAAAATGCCACAGGAGCAAGAGGCAGGTTAAGGCACCTTTAACCGAGAAGACCTGGGGACGAGGTTGAGTTGGTTTGGTTGTGAAAACAAAAAAATGGCGGATAACACCCTCCTCGATCTCCATAATTCTTCATAAGATACTCAGCCTCATTCATTAATTGTAATGAAAGATAAACCTCACCCCTACTCCGGTTCCCCAAATGTCGGCTGTTTTCACAGGGTTCCCCCCGATCTCCCCAAGTTTTGACCGAGTGGAGCTTGAGACCAGGGGAAACCAAGATGGCGCCTGATAATGGCGCCCTTGTCCAATTACCTGCCTAGCCTTCCGCGCGCCATCTTTGAATGAGTGTTAGTTCCCAGTGTCCCAAAACGTCCACAATGCGCGGCCTCCTGTCCCTGTGCGGAAAAATTGGGCCCTGGTGGGTGCAAGTGTTTGCTGCTAAAAAAAAAAATAGGTTTTTTATCTTTTTAGCGACTTCGTAGCTCAAATTTGAAAAAAAGGTCCATTATCGGGGTTGGTTTGACAGAATAGGCTGAAATACATGGACTTTAATAACAGAAAAGGCAGGAAATGGTGAGCGCTTGTTCGCTCTGATGTTTTTCTTTCCTTTTTTCTGGATTTGGTTAGATTTGCGAATTAAAGGCGCGTCAATGAAGAAAAAAAACCTTTATTTTTTTGTCTTATTTTGACTTTGGCATCTCATTGTTGTAGATGCCGCTGTTAAACTAGTGATTGAGAGAGCTGAGATGAATACTTTACAACTGTCAAAACCTTATACACCCACAGGTAGCCCAAGCTCGAAATATAAGCATCGGCGAGCATCGACATTGTTGCATAACATTCGAAATATAAGGATTTGTATGGAAAAAAAAACTATCGTTTCCGTAACCTACGACAATCAAAGGATTTCAATAAAAACAGCTTACCTTACATAAAATGTGTGTTACGTCTCCCCTGTGTGGTCCATGGGCAGATTTATGGCCGTTTTATGGGTTGTACTGTAAACGGTTTTCTCTCTATATAGAGCTTTATACAGCCATAGCGGCTCACGCGCGTTCATACCAATAGGAAAGTATTTACATTCTCTGTCACTGCCACCACGTTTAGCTCCGCCGAATGTAAATACGTTTCCTATTTATATTCACGACTAAGAGACGGGAATGAGTGTGCAGCTCGAACTGTGGAGCAGCTGAGAAAACAAACAAGGGGAAACATTATTACAGTCCAAGAGACAGAGAAACTGCTAATCGGTTTTCTAGCGAGTCTTCAACGTAGCCAGTTCAAAATGAGTGTCATGCAGAGCTGTATCTTTAAGCTTCAGATCAGCCGATTCGTCAAAAGAACCCCACAAAGGCCAGTAACGCCATGGCCATGAATTTCGTGTCCACCAAAGATCCATCAAGGTAAAGGTGATTTCCACTGACGCGTTTTTGGCTGCGCACGTTAACAAGCGTTAATAAGCATTGCCTCTATTTTGTTTTTATTTGGAAATCAACCCTAATGGGAAGCTTTTTGGAAGTGAGGTGTAATAGCCTTCTCTTTGCGGACTCCACGACCTTCTGGGGAAGTGTATGATTGGTAGGAGATTCCAAACCAGCCAATATCATGATCCAAGAGAGAATGAGCTCATTCTCTCTTGCATGAGCCCAGCGGATGCTATATAGAAGGTGTTCTGGACCGGCGCAGGCGAACTAGGAGCCTGGACAAATCGCGCTTGAAATCATTCTCTAATTTGACTAGTATACCATTTGATTACCTATTAATATCATGGGTGAGGCATTACGTTAAGAAAAAGCTCCCGCAAACGATTTTGGAAAAATAGTTCTCAGTGCCGAAAAATACTGATGCAAGTAAAATAGGTAATGGCGTCATTTCGTTACTATGACAACTCCGATGTCATTGCAACCCTGATCATAACAAATTTTCATCTTTGTCTAATACAACTGTGGTGGCAGTTTTTCCAAATCCTTGTTTATGGCGACGTAGTTTATAATTATGCTCAAACCTGGGAAGTAATGACCCTGAAAAACTGTATCGAGCCACCTGTGACGTCACGTTACCATGGTAGCAAAATTTTCGGATCGCAACAATAGAGAGTTTAAGCAACGATGCTGGCGACGGCAAAAGAACTGGAAAAAAGCAATACGTTTTTACAATCGCGCTTTTTTGTACGTTTCTTGGCCGTCGTTGCATGACTACGACGTGAAACTTCCAAATTTCATGCACCCACTTTACGAAGTAGGTGAGCAAAACGCAAAATTTTCTTTTTCTTTTCCTAAACTTAGATACAGTCCTTTCGGATTTGACACCAGAAAATTTCGCCAACATTTGAAAAATTAAATGAAATTGAATGAGATCGATGAAGTTTGGAAACAGAGCGAATTCAGAAATTTTGCTACCATGGCAACGTGACGTAACGACTTCCCCTTTCTATTATGGACACTTTATATAACCCCCGCAGTGTCCGTATTAAGAGGCCCGAAATCATTGGAGTCACGTGTTTTAAGCGGTAAGGCCTGGCCTGTGCCTGAGGACATGATGCTGCACAAGGATCTCATATCTGACTCAATGTGTTCTTTGTAGAATATGATCACATGGTACAAAAAACACGTTGCTGGGTGGCAAACAACGCAATGGGTCATTGAAAAGAAAGGATATTAGCTTTTTGAAAGATGTAACCGCTTTGTTTTCAGTCTCGCCCTCGTTTGCTATCCAGCAAGATCTTTTCTGTACTGATCGCATCCTGCAAAGGGCCCATCGCATTAAAGAATATGTCGTTGGCATTATCTCGTAAGAAACAGATTCTTATAGCTATTCCTGTGTTGAACATAAATTGTGGAATTGTCCATTTTGAGAAATCAAGCTTTCAAGGTAACTCATTCGACAGACATTAGACATTAGAATTCATCTTATCAAGTTTTCAACGCGAAATGCCGAGTAACTATATTTCAAAGCATGGTGAATTAACAAAAGCCGTGAATCAAACGTTGGTGAAGCTCAATTCCGACCCATGCAGTGTGTTTCGGGACAAAGGACGACGCCCATGGTGAATTTCAGCCTT